TTCAACCTTCCTAAATTCTCCCACACCACACCGCTCCTCCGCTCCCTTCACTGGCTTCCAGTAACTGCTAGAATCCACTTCAAGACACTGGTACTAGCGTACCATGCTGTGAATGGATCTGGCCCTTCCTACATCCAGGACATGGTTAAACCATACACCCCAGCACGTGCACTCCGCTCTGCATCAGCCAAACGGCTCGCTGCACCCGCACTACGAGGGGGACCCAAGTTCCCATCAGCAAAAACACGTGGGTTTGCTATCCTGGCTCCAAAATGGTGGAATGAGCTCCCCATTGACATCAGGACAGCAGAAAGCTTACACATCTTCCGGCGCAGACTGAAAACTCATCTCTTTCGACTCCACTTCGAGCAATAAAATGACTAACAAAGCACTTATATACTAATAAAGGACTGGCTTATCTAAAGCTAGTTGAGTAGCACTTGAAATGTTTTGGCTCTCTGAAACCTGATGTACTTATATGATTCTGTTTTCTTCTAGTTTGTATCTTCTTGGTCGAATGCACTTATTGTAAGTCGCTTTGGATAAAAGCGTCAGCTAAATGCAATGTAATGTAATGTGTGTGTGTGTTTCTGCACTCCAATGTTGTCTTACCTGTGGTGATGTAAGAAGAGTGTCCTACAAGGGCATGGCAAGGTGAACATTGCCTTGCAGGATAGAGGGAAAGAGGAAGATAAAAAAATGGAGGGGAGAAAGAGAAGGAAGTGCAGAAAGGGGGCAGGAAGCGGGCAGAATAGGAGAAAACAGAGATGGAAAGTTCGATGGATGGGTTAGTTTCAGATGAATTGAGAGCGAGGACAAGGGACGAAATGACAGAATATAAATGTTAGGCAGCTTATACAAGGGAGAGAACGGGTAGGATCATTTGAAACTATGCGTACACATGCTCGTTCAGTGCATATTGACAAGGTCTTCTGGTATCTACAGATACTCCAGCAGTGATCTTATCATGCAAGTGTTGCTTCTTGAATTCCACTGTCAGGAGAAGAGTGAAATAGGGTAGAGAGGCTGCACAAGATAAGCAGCTTTATGAATAAGAGGAGATAAAGGAGAATTGGAAAAGACAAGGACTGTTAAAAAAAAGGAGGAGGAGGAAAATCAGGGAAGGAGCTGTGAAGACGACTGGCAAGAGTTAAGAAGGAGACGTACGAAAAGGAACAGAGGGGGGAAAGCAAAGGGAGAAGAGCGAGTGGGATGTGTGGAGGATTACTCAAGTGTGCATTGAGCTCTGGCTGTATTGTGCAGTGAGGTTTCTTTGGTCCCTCGAAAAGAAAACATGGTAGTATGAATAATGAATCACACATTAACACAATGCACGTTTATTTTTGTGCTGTATTGTGTGACTCCTTTCCCCCAACTAAATGGCTATAAAAAAGATCTGCAGTGGGGCAGATGATGCTCTCAGCTGAGCAAATACGTCCCCACGCGAACGCATACTGAGTCAAAAGACACGCGGAAAGATTATTTTGCGAGAACAATATAAACTGAGCATGTGTTAATACTTCATGATGAGTCGGTGTGTCCCTGAGTTATTCGGTGGATGGATTCATGTGTCAGTCACACTGCAAAGTTGACATTTCTGCCAGTTGCCCACCCAGGAACAGCATGTAGAAAGCTGTGACTACTAAACTGCCATGAAGTACCCTAAAAAAAAAGATTTCTGGGCCGTGTTCGGCTCTTAAATGTGAGGACCGCTGGGATTTGTTCCTCAAAAGATCCAGCACTCAGTGTTCCAGCGAAGATCAGCAGCGCATCATATTAAGCCGTTTGAAAGCACTGCTGTCAATTTGGGTATTCACTGAAAAGTCTAAAGCCCACCACCATTATCCCATCAAATAGATTTCAGAAGATGAATTTTAAAGCAAAGAATATCAACAGTGATTTTTTCCGCATTACTCCCTCCCTAAAGAATGCACTTACTCTGATCTCAATATATTTGCACCTTTTTCTAAAAAAGGAAAACAACATTTTAAAGATAAAACAGTGCTGAATCTGTTGGATGGTTTTCTTTGGCTGAAAGCATGTTTTAGTTGTTTTTCTTCCATTACAGCACATCAGTCAGACACATGCATACTGCGGCACTGAAAGTGATTTAAACTTCTCGGTCGGGACAGCAGAATAATCTTTAATTGGCACTGTGAGCCTGTTATGCCAATGAGGGAGCAGTGATTATATTTATAGCCATTTTACAAATTAAATGTAAGCAACCGCAACTGTCTGACATTTACTGATACAAGGACAAAGTCAGTTGTGTTGCAATTCAGTGTGTGTGTGTGTGTGTGTGTGTGAAATGAACATCCATTTATATATATGTTCAAACCTCCCTTCATCTCCATCTCTCAGCTTCATCCAGTACACCAGCTTTACCTGCATCTCATCAGTTGCACACAACTGAAACTGTTTGATGCATGGCGCACCTTCAGGATAAATAGGAAAACAAACAACAACATATGGTTGCACGATTCAATGGGCTACAAAATGATAGTGAAAGAGAAAACACTTTCGGTCAATTACATGCAAAGGTTGGCAGCTGTGTTTTTTACTAGCTGACAGTAAAGTCTAATTTAGGGATGCACATTTTCACTTTACTGTCAGCAGGAGTCCAATTTTCAGAGTGGATTATGTTTAGAAAGTTGAGAATATACTCATCGCTGCTGTGACTAAATCATTTCCCACCTTGGGATCGATATAGTATCTATCTCCATCCATCTATCTATTATTTACACCAACTTCAAAATATAGTATTGCATTGTAATTCAATATGACATTAATTAACTTAGTTTAGTTTTCATTTCAAGCATAGCCCTGAAAATGTATGCTGTGTGTTTTAGTCCCAATGTGCTTTCCATGTCTAATTTTGCCTTACAAGTAAAAAATGATATAAAGTGATAATGAAATACCCGTTAAATCAACCGCACAGCAAGCACTCACACGTCTATTGACTACAGGGCCTTTGAGTTAGCACCCTTCCATTTATCTTTCCCGGCAGAAAGCCATTTCCTTCTGCAGGCAGGAGAGAAAATGGGACCGTTGTTGGATTAAAATCTTGTGCAGGTTGAAGGTTTTAGCTTTAGATTGGCTTTTTGGTTGTTATATCGGCAGCTTTTCACCAAAACGCTGATGCAGTTTTTTGAATTGGGCGGTTACAATGAAACGGTGGTGAGATTCAAGACGGTTGAATTTGGAGATTGGAATCTATGAGGTGTTAGAAAATACATGTAGAAAAAGCCCTTTGTAGTGGTCTGTTGGTTAATGCCAGATTCAAAGCTTGAGCAATTCATTGTAGGTGATGTTTAGTATTGAGGGACAAGCTTTTGTTTTAACCCTTGTGTGGTTTTCATATTTGTGTTATTCAGCAAGTGTTCGTGGGTCTGGTGGACCCGCTGCCTTTTTGGGTTTCAACACAATCAAACTATTTTATGTTAAAATACTCAACAGATGTTTACTTCATCCCAATTACAAGCAATATAAACAGTATAGATGGTTAATATTTGCCCTTTTACATTTGTTAGATCACATTAAAATGTCCTGCTGAACGAAGCTCTGGATTTGAGTATTACTTGTTAAATGGCTTTAAGGATAAATGTTTCTAGGATTTTTTTAATAATGTTAGAGCACCTTGAAATAAATATGCAGCAGATTCCTCCATACAGTAAAGTGCTGAATATTGTTTTATTTTTGTTATGCACCCTGGAGAATTCAGTTGCAGACAAGTACCAATAAAGTAGGTTCAGATAGAATTAGATGCATAAGTAGTTTGATTAAGATAATTGTCAGGTGACGTATTCCATGTATTTGTCATGTTAACCTACAGCAAATGTTTCTGCTAAGCACTCAGTGAGCAATTTGATAGCCCCAGGTTCCCCCCCACCCTAGAGGAGTAACAATGTGACAGCTAATCATTTTAGCATGCTTACATTACTCTACTAATGAGGTCAGCATTGGGAGATTTGTTGAAGTTTAACATGAAGGTTGGTGGGTTGGGCAATTTCCCTCCATCACACTATGAATCCATAGTCACTTAGCAGGATTTATTCATCAGGGAAATTGATTTTGTTCTAATGGTATTACTTGATGCATGTATTTTCTGACATGGATGATTGTTTCTATAATTATTTTTATTGTACAGTTTTAACTGATTTGGTTGCAAATTAAAAAGCAGATACATAAAATTGCCTAAAGTTGAACAGAATTTCGAGAATATCTTGTTGTTTTTGTCAAATGATAACACTGGATTTTCACCCATGTTAGTTCCAGTGTCTACATGTTGACAAATGCTATTAGTCTGCCTTAACATCGAATGTCCATTTCTGTGTTATCCTTTTTCAAATAGTACATCAAAGCTAAATGTGATTAAATAACGTGGGCTGTAGATGTTTTCTATAAGAGCAGCCGAGCTGTCTGCCATGGCCATCCCTAGAGTTAAAGTGGATGAAGTGCTCTTCATGAAGTGTAATCAGCTGCTGATTTGGCCGGGTCTGATCCACAGAGATGCAACTGACAGAGAAAGACTCTGTGGACATGTTTAGAAAAAATAAATTAAAAAAACACACACACACACACCAAATAAACTAGCAGCATTGACCATGACATGTATAGCAGAAATGTTATCCAGAAATGAATTTTAGCATTTAAAGATCATATTATATGTACAGTATACACATCGTAGTTCATTTATTTTCGTGTTTGGAAAGATATATATATATATATATATATATATATATATATATATATATATATATATATATATATATATATATATATATATATATATATATATATATATATATCAGGTTTTAAATACATTTTGGGTTTAAACCTCAAACAACTTTAGCCATGACTTGCCCATTTTTTGATGGTGACATTTTTTGTTCAACTAAGAAAAACAAGTGCTTGAAATGTTTTGACTTTGTCTACAGTAAAATGCAAGCGATTGATTTTTATTTTTATATTAATGCGTCTTTCCTCATTCTTTCTTTCAGACCCAGTGATCAGGAGGAAAGCCACATGTCTGAAGTCAAAACGGAAACGGATGAACAGATTAGAAATCAAAATAATAAAGTAGCGGGGGAATCAGTTAGCCAAATTGTGTGAATTTCCGATTTCATCATCATTAAACTTCATTGTCAATAAGTATGTTTACAGATCCAGAGTAGGTTTAATTTGGTTTCGCTGGTCCGGTCTACAAGCTTAAACCAGTTTGATTTGATGCCAACTGGACGAGACTGCATTTGTACTGTATTATGACATGTTCTGGCAAATTCATAAATAAGCCACGGAGCTTCATCAGCCCCACAGTGTAAATCCAATTTGCATTAGTAATAAGCAATATGAAAGTGTGATTAAAATAATATTGTGTTTGACAAAGAGCTACTGTCTGACGGACAGTTCTCAATTAACTGCATAGCTGAGAAAGTCTGCAACAAGAAGGAGATCAAATTGTAGTTTCATTAGGGGTTGGAGGAGTCATTAGGAGCCGCTGAGTAAAGAACAAATCAATCTGTTCAGTGATTGGCTTAATATCAAACCGGTTTGAATTTTTTTTATACCGGGCTATGCCTAGTCTAGAGATCTACATTGAAAATCGAATCAGCCTACTTTATCAAGAAGAAAAATGCTGTATGACTGTATATGAACTGCATTGTTAACATCATGGTAGTAGTCATCCAGGCCTTCTGCACATCTTCATAATCACAATCCTCTTCATCACCATGGAGCGCGGCTACGTGCACACAGCATGGCGCATAACACATCTCACTTCATGTTATTTTGGAAAGAGTGACATCTTCGTACTGTATGTGTCTGACGAATCCTTTTATGATAATCATCAGAACAAAACATGTGCTCTGTAATAGCATCTCTGTCATGATTGCCATGCTTTGGCTCTGACATCACGCTGGTTATTGTAAATGGGGTCTGTGGTACACAGATGCCATCTCAGATATGTGTTTTTCCAGATGTGTGTGCACAGGTTGTTATCATTCTCATCATGATTGTTACAGTTCCTTGCAGAGATGTAAGTTGGTTGAAGAGCCAATAGACAGAGAACCTCGAAAACCGTTTGACCCATCTCAGAAGACACATCCCAAAAAAAGCAGATAAAAATAAAAACGTCTTCACTTTTCTCCCTTCTGTGCTCTCCTCACTTTTTCTTTGGGCTTTACCTTTTGTATGTGTACATAAAGCAATTTCAAATCTTATAGTTTTGTACATGTAATTTTTATGGTGTGTGGAATTTTTTAATAAAATAAAACAAAAATGGACCACTTTTCTCCTAGACTGGCTGAATTGTTTCCATTGTCCTATGTGTCTAACACTCTATACATGTATCAATGTTTAGTCGTGCTGTTTAAAAAAGGTATCATTTTCAAGACGTAAACAATGTTCACAAGGTTCAGTGCAAGTGATGATAAACATTGGACACAGTAATCAAAAAAGCAATTGAGTATTTGTTTGTTTCCCCACCTCAAATACTTAAATGGGAGAACATTTTAACTATAGGAAATGTGTTGGTTGATGTTATGAAGGTATGTGATTTGGGTGAAGGTAAATGCATACTAGTCATTTTAGTTCAACTTTTTCAGTCAACTAAATGTTTAGTTGGTTTAACTGACTAAAACGTTTTTCCACAGAAACAACCATGCAGTATGCAAAAGTGCTTTTCAGACTTGTGCCATAAGTTAATTATGAGATCTCATTACTGCCATATGTAAAATTCTAGTTAAAGCTGCAATAATCTGAATTTACTATATTAACAATGGATCAAACATGGTGGAGCATTAAGCAGCTAAGAGCCAGATATTTCCCTCTGGAGCTGGTGGAGACCAGAGGAGAGATGAGAAGAGAGGGAATATTGGACTTACATTTATCATCATGTAGACAGATTCAAAGCTCGAAATAAATGTTGATGATATTTATTTCAGTACATGCAGATTCAATGCTTAATTGTTTGTTAATATCAAACAAATGTTAAAGGGGACCTATCGTGCAAAATGCACTTTTTGATGTATTTTATACATAAATATGTGTCCCCAGTGTGTCAGGGAACTCACGCAGCATCAGAAAATAAAAGCCTCTCTCTTTTCCTCCGTACCCAAATCTCTAAAAACGGGCTACAATGGAGCTGATCCAGATGTGCGTCCGATATGACGTAATATCGGAAATGTAGGCTGCTTTACACCCACGGCCCTATCTGAAACGTTGCTATCAGAAACAATGCCCGACTGTTTTGGACGTAATATGGTCGGTGCATGTTTACATTAGCATCGCTAACACTCAGAGCTAACCTGTACTGCACAGAGCATGTGTGTGTGAAGAAGCAGGAAATAAAAAGGAACTCGCCTTGTGGTATAACCGGCAAGAGAGAAAGCCTTTGAGCTCCATACTGTTTCAGAAATAATCCTTGATAACCCATGATATGGCATTTCATCACCGCAGTATCTGCCGGTAGAATCTCCCGCATGAGCTCAGCCCCCTTCTTTTTTTTTGTATCAATAACAAGCTTTATACCCCAAATCAGCACTTTTGAAACAGGAAGTGAAATAGAGGGATATGAGGCATGGCTAGAATGTGTGATCTGTTTGGTATTTTGAGCAAAACACTTCATAGACATGTTTTTATATATTTGTATATATCTGAGACCTATGCTATTGCCTAAAAATAGCATGATAGGTGACCTTTAAGCAATGTAAAAAAGACAAAAGAGTGATGAGATGAAATAGAGTTTCTTGGATAAGGATCATCGTGCTGGTGGCTTCAGATCATAGACCAAAAGGACTCGCATGATCAGAGTCATTAACTGGTTCTTACTGATGACAGATGTTTCTGCTCTCCTTTGTTGGAAAATAAAAATGAAACAATTCTGCACATGACTGGATGAATACATTGCTAAATGGACCTTTGATTGTGACTGTCGAACTGGAAAATCAGTACATCTGTCCTGTGAATACTGCCAGATTTGTCCTCAGATATTCACTAACATTGGTTTGTCCTCAGTGTCGATGCTTCCTTTGAACATAACCTAAATGTGTTTGCTTACTCCGTCCCTCCACTCCTATTATCTCCTCATATCACTTTGCTCCTCCCTTCATGTATCCCCCTCTGCCTTTCTCCCTCATTCTGTCTTCTCTTAACCTCCAATCCCCTCTCTCAATCTGTCTTTCCCGCTCTGTTTTTCCTCTCAACTTTAATACCCAATCTACACAACTCCATTCGGCGCCCCCGATCAACTCCATGCCTCGGTTTTCTGCTTCTTAGTTTCTGGCAGGAGGCCAGCGCCAGATCACATCCCCACCATTTCTATCTCTTCTCCTGTCACCACCTGTGAACTCTATTCCCTCTTCCTTCCTTTTATTTATACCCACACATTAAGCAGAAATAATCAAAATGGATGAGGGATATTGAATATTACATCTTATCTTTCCTAACAGAGGAAGAAAAAGGGAATGACTGCTCTAATATTACCACAGCACCATGAGAGAATGAATAAGAAATGAAAAAAGGATGAACACCCATGAGCTATCAGCAGATGCAGAAAATGTAGCACCTGGTGTCTCATTTAAAAAAAAGCCGCTAATATTAAAATGTGATTTATGATTCACTCTTTGAGCGCTATACCAGCAGTGAACATGATTATACCTGGAAATCAACACAGCATACTAGAAAAAACAATGTTGAACACATGCTGATGAGGCATTGTTTTGATTGGGAATTCATTATTTCAGTCACCTTCGCCTAAAAGTTTTCTTCCAAGGGTATGAATAAACTAAGGCATTTATGCTGACAAGATCCAATCATAATCACTGTGATACTGTATTAAAATAGTCAGACATGCTACTGAATGCATTAATTAAGCCCACTATTTACTTAAACAAACTTTGCATGGCATCAATATGAACTTAAAGCAATGAGAAGATACATTAGTTTCAGTAATATATCTTTTTGCTCAATAATATGTAAATCTATGCAGCAAGGTGCCGCAAATGTAATCAGACCATCTTTTATACAGGGGAAACTCTTCTTGTAGGTATTGAATTCCTGTCATGTACTGTTCTCGGGTTAGCATTTACGAAAAAAAAGGTCTCAGCACAGACAGATGTCAGCATGAGCGTATTTGAAAGAAATGCAAAACACAGCACAAGAACGTTTGCCACAGTGTCCTTGGCTGTTCATATTGTGAATTATGGAATGATGAATATTTCGTTCAACTGCTTACTAACACAAAGCCTTGAAAGGATGAGAAAAATAAATATCTTCATTTGAATTGGTTAGGAGATTAACCGCAAGGCCGTAGAGCTCATGCCTGATTGGACAAATAAGAGAGGCATGTAGCCTTGAGTGATAAGCGTTGAAAACGCATACACAGATAATATCCTACTTAATACACACAGATACAAATTAAGCATAAAGTTCACACATTCGTACAGGAAAGATGTCCATGTGAACACATTGGTTTGTAAAAATAAATGATGTTAAAAAAAAGCTGCTCAAGTTACCTCTCAGAGTTTGAGCTGAAGCAACTTACTCAATGTTTGAGTGACTTATTCAGTATTTAATCAGTGTGCCATTTTCACGTGTCTAACTTCTTTATGGGTAACTGGAGGATTTATTTCTAAACTGTGAATTGCTTCTACCACTTGCAATACAACAACCATATACTTGTTGTTTTTGGGTATGTGAAGTTTCTCCCCTTATGGTACGGTCTCAGTGGAAGGATCCTAGGATAGGTCTAAACCCAGGATGTTTAACTGAACCTTATTTGCAAGTGTTTATCGTTCCCTCTTCATACAACCTCGGGGGAGTCCACCGCTAAACCCAGATGTTATCCCTTTGAGGTCTGCCTTATACTCAGGTGGAGACTGGCCAACATTTGAATGTCTTGCAATTTTCAAGGTGTGAAGTGGTTTTGAGGGATGGAAAATGGAAAAGTATCTTCAAATATAAAGTTGTGTGGTGGCTCTATCCGTGTTAAAACTGTTTATAACCTACCACCAACACATGGATGAATGATTGCTTACTCACACAGCTCACACAACCAGATACGGTCAAACTCAGAATCGTCATGTACAAAACAACAGCTCGGTGGGCTTTTTGGTGCAGACATTGCTGGAGCAGAAAATCAGCGACTTCAACTTCAGTGTAATTTCTGTGTAGCTTGAACTACCATTATCACAGGGAACTGACTGGACCGACCCTCTGGAGGCTACTTCCACAAACTCGGTCAATGATGTGATTACATTTGTCTGGAGTAAAGATTAGGTATGCACCTTGGAAAGACTGAGGCATTTAAATATATTTAACATTTAAATCTAAAACCCAGATTTGAATCCACTTTGAATGTTTTTTGATTGTGTATTTGCTTTCTAATTCAAACAAGGCAAACATATTTCTTACCTGAAGTATGATAAATGCATTCAGTCCGTTACCACACAAAAATCTCTAAAAAGCCTTGATTTTTTTCTGAAAAACAATCGTCCCTTTCCGACACTTGAGATGAACACAGATTGCAGCAAGTGGTAAGTGCGACTATATTTTGAACACATTATGATGACACTTGTGTGTTACCTCCACACGACACAAACTGTATGATATAGGCTGCCAAGCAATTAATGGCCACCTAATTATCTGTCTCTTAGACTTTACAACTTTTCATCCAAAAAGTAGAGATGATAGCTGAACTGTTGCTACTTTAATTCTCCATCCACAACAAACCAATATGTATAATATCCCTCATCACTTACAAGGCAGCTGAATGGACAAGCTACATGCTAAGCAAAGGGAGCGGGGGTAATTAAGGCAATTGTTTGTAATCAGCAGAGCTTAGTATTTATGATAACGGCACCTCATGGCGTTTTTCGTTTTAATCTTCTGCAGACAACCATCAGATGTGTTTTAATGAGGACAACTCACAGTGAGAGATCACTAGAAAATCTGCTCTCCCCTGGATTTATATTAGGTTGGATGCACACCAAAAAATCTCATCAAGTTTAGTTCAACTAATTAAACCCAAAGTTACCGTCCTCTCCCAGCCCAAATTTCCCAGATGAGGGAACGGCTGTGAAGAAGTCACAAAGGGAAAACATGATGGTTGGTTTGGAAAAAAATATATTTTCTGAATTTGTATGCACCAACACTGCTTAATTGGGGCTAAATCTTGTCAAAAGCAAGTAGCGTTTGTCCACAGTTGGCAGGAAGTAGCATGGGGGCTACAGCGATCTGAATGTTGATCTGAAGGAACAACAGGGAAATCTGTCCAA